TGTTCGTGTTCTGAATTGTTGTTGCCTGTTATTCGTTCAATAAAGCTGACTTGTTTTACCTCAGAGCCTCATCTTTAAAAGCGCTTACGACTGACAGCCGGCAACAGCCAAGTCGCGCCTGATTGGCTAAGGCGCGGCTGGCTGAGCGTGGGCTGTCAGATGCGCGGCTATTGGTCGCCCTGCTTGACAGCTCCGTATAAATAGCTGTCAAGCAGGGCGAGGTGCTGAATCGCTACTTACTAGTTGTGTCGATTCTCTGTTCTAGGCTGTTTAGACAGGGCCTCAAGATCCCATCCTCATCACCAGTGAAGTGGACCGAGGAATTACGAGGCAGGAGGCGCCTGAGGTAAATTGAACAGCTTTATTGCAAACAGAGAATCAAAACAGCTACTAAGTAGCGATTCAGCACCTCGCCCTGCTTGACAGCTATTTATAGGGAGCTGTCAAGCAGGGCGAACAATAGGCGCGCGTCTGGCAGCCCGCGCTCAGCCAGCCGCACCTTAGCCAATCAGGCGCAACTTGGCTGTTGCCGGCTGTCAGTCGTAAGCGCTTTTAAAGATGAGGCTCTGAGGTAAAACAAGTCAGCTTTATTGAACGAAGAACAGGCAACAACAATTCAGAACACGAACAAAAGGAGCCCGCCTGACAGCTATTTATATTTGACAGCTGTCAGGCAGGTAGCCAATCGGTGGTTGGCATTTCTCCCGCCGGCCGGCTGGCGTGCCAGAGTCAATCAGGCGCCTGAGGTTCTGGCCGCGCCTGCCGGTTGCGTCAGGAGGACGCAACAAGCGCGAGGACAAAACAACATGCACTTCCCTGCATTTTCTGGCCCACCTTAATCCACACAGCTTCGCTGAGGAAACTGAATGGCACAGGAGGGTTATCTGCCTCCTGCTTCTGAAGATGAGTGAAATCAATGGAGTCTCTCAGCAATCGTGGAGGAGTTCCGGTCTTCAGTCTTCCCATGGTAAATCCAATCTTCTCCAGCGTCTGAGCCAGGCCGACGGAGGGCTGGTCTCCCATTCGCCCCGCAGGATGCGTTTCCAATCCGATTAGAACCATCCCTCTCAGAAATGTCCCTGTAGTCAGAATGACACTCCCAGAGTGGATTTTTGTTCCATCTTCTGAGGATGGAAAAAGAAAATGAAACCGACCATGTATCATACTAATACTTCTACCCTCATAGTAGAAAATTATTATTTCCCAGGCAAACGGATTTAGATCAATACAGATAGCCACAATTTAGAAAAAAAATCACAGTTAAAATTGTTTAAAATCCCAAAGCAGCTCTGGTATTTTTTGTGTACTATAATTATTTTTGTCTCTGCATAATTTAAGGATATGTCTGTCAATTTGAACCAAATTTCCAGGGAAGCTGTTTTCATACTTAGAAAACAACAACAACAACAACAATAGCTGAAGGAGAGCTGAAAAAGCTTCTTGGATGAGAAGCAAAACATCTTCAAAGACCAGTTCAATGGCATTGTGACTTCCCAGAACCCAGGGGTGAAATTCAGCAGGTTCTGGAGAACCGGTAGCAGAAATTTTGAGTAGTTCGGAGAACCAGCAAATACTACCTCTGGCTGACCCCAGAGTGGGGTGGGAATGGAGATTTTGCAGTATCCTTCCCCTGCCATGCCCACCAAGCCACGCCCACAGAACTGGTAGTTAAAAAAAAAAATGAATTTCAGCACTGCCAGAATCACTATATCTACTTTCATATGTTTTGTTGGATTCTTTTGTCTGTTCCATTCATTGATCACCTGCATTCTACTATTTAAAATACAAGAGAGTTTTTCAATCTCTTATTAATCAAGCTGTCTTTATCTTTATACCCTTCTACACTCATATAGCAATAGCAGTTAGACTTATATACCGCTTCATAGGGCTTTCAGCCCTCTCTAAGCGGTTTACA